CCCCCCCCCCCATACTGTTACCTGCATTATAGTGGAAGTTCTAATTAAATGAAATAGTTCTAATAATAAAATCTTTATTCTTATTTATTTAATTATAAATAAATAAATAATTATATTATTTAAATTACTTAATTCCTTCACTGTCCATCTGATATTTTAACAGATACAGTAGATATATTTAAACCTAATCTTTAGAGTTCAGGCTTCTGAAGTATCTCTTTCTTTTTAATGGGGATAAGCAATAATTTTCAAGGGTTCTGCTGCATTTTTATTAGTACAATATGACTTAAATAATTAGACTTAACCTCATCAACTGCTGCTTTCCATTACATGTTTTCACAATCAACAGGACAATCCATGAACCACATGCAAAGGGGCAGGCGGAGAGGCAACAACATAGTTTAGCCATTCCTTTTCTATGACAGCCTGACTGAAGCCCATAAGCAATTTAATAATAAGAAAACATATGCGGTGATTTTTGGATTTGGGGCTAATCATAACTGTACAAGTAATGATATTACTTTGGAACAACAAGAGACCACAAACATCTTTCGGTCCTTTTAACATGTAAGAAGTCTTAAATGGCAAACAGTGTCTGGCGCTCTTCCCCCTCTCATGCCTCCATTGCAGTTAGCCATGTTATCTGTGGTACCTGAGTGCCATTACAGCAACTGCTTGAAATAAAATATTGTAAGCTATATTTGGACACTTGTGACTGATTCAGCAGCTTGGCCCGAGGCATGAAGAGAATGGGATTTCATTTTACCTTCTGAATCTGCAGGTATAATATCCCTCTTTATCCAAGGAATGGGGAATCTGCACCCTGATTTTATGAAGCCCACAAAGTTATCTGAATGTCTTCTTCCTTTATTGCTCAGTACTGTTCTTTCTGCATTCTTGCCTCGGCAGCATTATCTGACTCTCCCTTTTAACTATTTGCACTTCTTTTCTGCATCACTCTCTTGTGTATGAGACAGAGAGAATGAGACAAATTATCTTTTGGAGCATGGAGGAGGGAGGGAGGGAGGGAGGGAGGAAGGAAGGAAGGAAGGAAGGAGATGAGAAGAAATGTTACATGCTATAAGCAAGGAACTTGCAACAGGATGGCACTTCACCAATCAGAAATCCAATCTCCAATTAGAGTTGAGCAACTAAAGTCTGAAAATTCCTACTGGTTTCAAAAGCAACTTTGTCTAGGAAGATGATTCACCTAGAAAGAAAAAGGTTTTATCTGTGTGTATGCATGAGAAAGAGATGTCAGGAACAAAGAAAAAGGGATTGATTCCAGTGTCAGTTCTATACTTTCCCACTATGCAACTGCCCTCAGCCTACTTCTGAAGGAACGCCTGACAATTTGTGTCTATGAAAACTGAATATACTTTGTTTGCCCAACTTGAACCTAGTTTGCTTCTCCCTATGAACTCTCTAGTGTAGTCATAGTATCCATATTCTATATCAGCCTTCCCAGCCTGATTCCTTCAAGTCTTATTGGTGACAGTCTACAGAATTCTCAGCACTATGGATATGGATAATACAAATTATCATCCAACATATGTGAAGAGGATCAGGTTGGAGAAGAATGCTCCAGGTTATGGCACAGATGTGCTTTCAACTTGTCAAAACTGAAAATAATAGTAAAATGTTATTTTCTTCTTCCTTCTACACTGAGAATTGACCATGAAGGACCAACAGGTGTCCATAGGGTGCCAAATATGAGTCATGTCACAAATTTCACAACTTATGTACTTGATTCAGGCATCAGGACACAAATATGTAATTGTGTCATTTATGTCATGATGCCACCATGCACGTCTTATCATTTGGTGTGATCGGAGTTTCTGAGAATGCTGCTGAGTTTGCAGGAGTGAACGGATAAAAGGTAGAAAGTAGGAAAAGTGACATTATTCTAGAATGTATTCTAAGTGCTAATTTTATTCAAGTAATTTAATAATGTCTCACCATTATTTAAAAGGACTAATAATCTGTATAAAGTCAGGATGAAATATATGCACATGGAATTTTGCAGGATTCAGAATTTACCACCCATCATAGAAATAAATCATTTTGTAGGCTACTGCACACATGAGAAGCAATGCTGATCTCATAAATCAGACCATGAAAATCATACCTATTCCATAACAATAACCATGACAATAAATACAGGCTGAGAAGCACAGCAGTTCTGAACTAATCCTACAGTACTAGCTAGAAGCAGCAGTTTAGAAACAGTTATACCACAGACTGTGAAGGAACTCAATATTTATTTTAAATAAACAGATGCCTGAGCTTCAACATTGAAGTGAGGAATCAGCACATTAGAATTTGTCTGCGATCATTATGATAAGGCTCCCAGAACAGGCTGTTTATATACTAGATTTGTCAGATAAAATGGATTAATGTACCAGAAAAAATGTATTAATAATATATTCATATTCAGAAATTATTTCAATGGGGCTCATTCTTGGGTCAGTTGGGTGTATTGTATCTTATGGCAAGTTATTGGGAGGAGTCCTGTGAACTTCATAGGGCATCTTTTATTGTATACCTGAATTGGAATGTATTGAAATTAATATA